AAAAAATAGATTTTTCATATGTTTTACTATGTGATCGACAAAAATTACGTAGACTTTTGTCCAGTGAGTGTATATTTATAATGGACAGTAATATTTATATTAGACAAATTCCGTAATTGTTTGACTTAATAGTAAAGGGGCTGTACTGTAATTCAAAACTAGTACGTAATACAGGCCTTGAAAAGGTACAGTACAGCCCTTATATTACGGTCTGTACTGTACCAAAAGTTAGTACGTATTGATAATTGAAATAGTACAGTACAGCATTTCGAACGGTACAGAACAGAAGTTCAGGATACCGAGAACGATCAGTCAGATGTCGTGCAGACCTGTGACTTGTGTTACACAAAGCACGAATAAAATTTTTTTTATATGATCGACTGTACTGAAATAGTAATGATGTTCTCTAAATGTCACGTGAGACAGACTTATCGAAATTTACATATAGCAGTAAAAGAGGTTTGACCGAGAGACCGAGTTAGGCCGAAACCGACTTATCGAGTCTGTCGATGTATTTATATTGTGTCATTCTTATTATTAGGTTTAGCGCAATAAAAATTTGAAGGCTTCTTCCTCATACGTTAGTTTTACGCGTAAATCATGTGACTGTGTTCTTACATCTATACCATACTAATACTAGTAACTAACCCATAATATTTTTGCGTGGATAACATTAGTTGATACGAATATTCTTATCAAGTCGGTTTCATTAGTATGGCCGGGAAGACATGGTCAATCTTAATCTTGCGTATTTATTCTAACACTTACATAATCTGTCTATGTGCATATTCGAATTGATGTTGATACATACAGAACGCGATTTCTTATAAATTGAATGGGAGTTTCTCTTGATCACATGCGACATTACATTACGTTAATTTACCAATGGCTGACTACCTTCTTCAAAACCGCGGCAAGCACAGAAAACTGACATTCAGGAAGTAGTTGGAACATACGTTGACGACGATGCCATATCAGAAGATGGCACGTCTATCATCAGCAGCAATCGAAAAATACAGAGTGCAGGTGGTTTTAACAGTCTTATACAGTGTGTGACCAAAGTCTCCGACCACTCCTTAAAATTTTATGAATTAATATGTAAACTTTAAGTTTTCTTATACCCGAATTTACTCAACTAAAAATGAATAAATTAGGCATTACGAAAAAAAATAATACCTCCACAACCATTTACGTTATTAACAAACTTCAAACGCGGTCTTGTAGCGAATGTCATGTACTTTGAAAAAAATGTAATTAATATGGCATTATAATGTAAATAAATTTTGTTATGGCATTCAAACAATCGCATATTAATTTCGCAGACCATTAACTGAAAAATGATCATATGCATGCGCATTTACACAAAATATTGCATTAGGCTTTCTACTTCCTCTTTCCACACATTTTTGCAAAAATCCAAGCATTCCAACTTATTCTTGGTGTATGGCAGAGTTAATTAAATTTGAACGCGGAATCATTATCGGAGGGTGGTTCTTTGGACACACTGAACGTGAAATTGAAGCATAAACTGGCCACCCAAAAAGCACAGTACATGACACAATAGAAAGATATCGTGAAACTGGGGCTGGAAGCTCTCTTCCACGCAGTGGATGGCCATCAATACTCACTGATTGGAACAAGCGTCATATTGTAAGAATTGTTAAGTCAAATCGCCAACAATCACTAAGACAACTCCAGAGCAACTTTGTCCAGTCATCTGGAACTGTTGCTAGCATCAAAACCATTAAAATAGCTTTGCATAAAGCAGGCTACCATAAACAACATCGAGAATGGAGATGAGCAATGGGAAGAAAGTTATCTGGAGTGATGAATCTCGTTTACTTTATTTAAAGTGATGGGAGAACTCGGGTTTGGAGACTTCCAAAGGATAAATATAACATTGACTGTGTTGTTCCAACGGTCAAGCATGGTGGTGGTGGAGTAATGGTATGAAATTGTTTTACATGGGAATCTTTGGAGTCTTTGGTCCGAGCTGAAGGAACAATTAATAGTCAGAAGTATATAGACATTTAAATTAGTACCATTTATGGAGAAACTGAAATCGTTGAGTATGAATTAATGCTACTGTTCATACAAGCAAACTGACAAGGACATTCTTTGATGATTCAGATATAAACATTATGAAATGGCCTGGACAGTTAATCCTATTGAACGTCTATGGGATGACAAATTAGAAAACGGAACCCTCCACCTGTATCTGAGAGGGAATTCTTCAAGAAGAATGGGGGACGCTGTATTTCAGAAACTCATTCTAAAATATAAATAATAGAGTTAAAGCGGTTCAACGGGCTAAAGGCTATGCAACAAAGTATTAGTAAGATTCTAGTCGTATTTTGCTTTACAGTTGTGCTTCCGATTGCATGGATTATTAAATTTTGATGTTTTGACATTGGTTGAGGAATTTAAAGGCTTTCAAATGAATACTATTGTGCACCGAGTTGTAGCATAATTTTCTATTTGTGCACATTTTTAAACGTTCAGGTCGAGAAACTTAACTTTTCACATTTTCGGTTGATTGAAGTCATGTGTAAGTAAACCAGACCGTTTACATACTAATATATGTTGAAAGTTTGCAGGAATACAGCTCATTACAAGCGCAACCATCTATGTGTGGCGTTCGGATAAGGGAATGTTTGGAAATTTTTCTGGTGATGATAAATCGTGGTCGTAATGTATTTATATTTACATCTTGGGTAAAGCTTTATTGATTTGGTCTATCTACATATATTCCCATTATTTACAACGTTACAAGACATAGGAAAAGTCCATAACAATAAATAACTACCAATTCTTTTTATGCTCTATCGACTCACCCAACAAATAGTGAAATCGGCCGAATTCAGTTACATGTCTAAGCTTGCAAATAAAAAACAGTACTACACTAACAATAATGATACTAGTACTACGTCTATATAGGAAAAGAGAACGTCAAAGCTCATCACAAGAGGCGTGCCTCTTTAGCTATAGCTTGTCATTCAGATAGTTCTACGTTTCACTCGACGTGTATTGCGTACAAGTCGAGCGTTAAACGCACGAAGGCTTATCGGAGTCCAAGAATAATCATCATCTTCTCCTAGACCTCCAATCAGCTCCCAGGGACGTTTGCGTGATCCATTAACATCACCTAATACTGATTGCCATGGCAGAACTCGTTTTACACGTTCACCCCAAACTGGAGGAATAGTAAAGTCATGTTGCTATAAGATAACAGAATATAGATGTATGATTAATTACTTTACAAAAAATAATTGGATTTAATCTAATAAGTCACATATCACTAACCCTCAGCTTGGCAATAGTGTGATTCCGGAATGACACTGGCATTTCTAAAATACAATAAAAGCATTACTCCCCGTTAGTTACTACCAAAGACAACTTGCATTTTATCTCGTAGTCGTTCAACGTTACTTACCATCGTGAAGCATAGTGACAAGATCTAAAATCAATCTAAACTTTGTTACCCCCGCTCCATTCTGGTGTATACGCCTATCGCCAAGCAAATGAGTAAGAGCAATAATCCACCGTCCCAAAAGGTCACTCTCCTTGGTAGGATCGTTCGAAGAGACCACAGCTTGTCTACATAGCGTCAGAGGTATCTTTATGACCAGGAGAAAACATTTTATACGAGGCAGAAGACTAGAAACGAGTTACATAACAAAGAAATTTAATACGATAATTCATTTCCCAATATTATATTTATTCAGTGATTGCTTCCGTCTCACCTTCTCTCAAAGTTGTCCTCGTTGCTATCGACCAGAACTTGCACTTGTTCTAATAAAACTTCGCAAAAATCGATTTTACGATTATCTTTGACAGAAGACAATAAGGATCGGAATACTTCTTCGATTCCAGGGATCAGCTCGGTGTGCGTTTTCATGACTAACATTCCTTGTTCAAATAACTATATGCATAATACAAGATGTTAAAGATATTTGGTAAAAATATAGCAGGAAACTTTATCAAACTTATCGCTTCTTCATTAAATTCAGATACTTTGGTTAATTCTCTTACCTCTCTCGCAATGTCAGGCCGCACGTCTTTCACAATTGCGCTGACAGTATCGCAGTCAAGTCTACCTTGTAACACTAATTCTTTCCAAAAATATTCCGTTATGCAGTCTTTGAGATTCGCTTCATCCACGTCCATTGACACGGATGAATCGCCGTCTTTGTCGAGATGATCTCCGGTGGAGTTAAGAACCATTATCTGATCCATAACAAGGCTAAATTCTATACGGCGTTTCTCAAAGTTCCATGTATCAATTTGTGAAAAGGCCGTTTTGAAATAGTTTATGAATGCGTTTGTTGAACGTGTATATGCATATCCGTCTGAAGAAAAAAGGCGTGTTATGAGGAAATTACAAACTCCAAATTTAGTACTACCCACGCATAGTCAATGTCTTACCAATTCCATCATGGCTTCCCAATGATAACTGTACAATGTCAATCATCCTCGATTCAACCTTCCTCAATCCATATTTCTTCGATGCTTTGATAAATTTGTCATGCACTCCAGACACATTCTCCGTACAGAGTCGTACAAACCACTCGGTGTTAGCGAGTGCCATTTGGAATTGTTCTATTTCATTTGCTATTTTTGAATTTTGAGCGTGAACCAGTGTTTCTATTATGGCGAAGTTATGGAAAGTGACAGACAACATATCAAGAATGCCAAGACCAAAGTCGGATTCCTTGCATTGCGTTTTCAGCGCTTGAATTTCCTGATTTGGAATAAAACAAGTATGAAGATTGAATTATTCGAAAATGTTCGCATTCCGAGAGATTTATACATTGCAAACGTACCATAATAGTCAATCGCAAATCTGTCCCGTAGTCAAGGCCACCTTGAACAAGCAGTAAACCCAACAACCGGCATGAATTTACACACTCGTTCAATTCTTCATTATCTACCTCCTCATGTTTTCTCATTTTCTCTGCTACAGGTGTCAAATATCGGTCACACATTTCATGTAAAATACACTTAATAGAAACCAGCCTTTTTGACACCAAGGTCACTATAAATAGTAAAAACCATGTCGGCGACTCTTCACTCATCACTCGATCATTCACTTTATCCACTTCATCCCAATCTAGCTTATCGACTCGATCTATTCGTTCAGTCTTACAGGTTTGGGAATGGTTGATAAGCCATGTTCGCATTACCCCATCCAAACCAAGCGGGGTCCGATCTCCGATTTCACGCAGAATATCGCCAAAAATAATAATTACTCGACGAATCTCGAGGAAATCTTCGCAACTATTTTTATAGGTGCTAACAGCTCTGACGCAAGCATCAAGCATGACGTAGAGATAGCCTGTTGTTGATTCGGATTTTATCCATTTGCCGTCGATATTAGATGCTATTGAGATTCGAAAGCCGTGAATTTTCATAAGAGTAGAATCAACCGGCCCAAGATTTTTTCGGTGACGACTTATAGCGGTGAACAGAGGGTACTGACAAAAGAAAATATAGCAAGGATGAGAATGGTTTATTGTTTACGTTAAACGATAAAATGAGATTGTGAGAAAGTACCTTGATTGGGGTTAGTAAATCCTTCTCGAGCTGTGCCTTTTTGTCCGCTGGTATATCGGTAAACTTGCGGAGATACTTCACAATGGATAATTCGACAGCATTTTTCTTACGCAATTGCTCGGTTTTGACCAAAAATGCATTCACAATAGTAGCCATTTTGTTCATTGCTTCCCATATAACTTCATGTCGCTTTATTATATCCAGTATTATCAGAAACATGCTTTTTTCCATCGTGTGCTCTAACACCCATAAGGCAATCTTTACAATTGAAGGCAGGCGCGATGTCAGTACAAAATAACTGATTCCATGCTGCATAATGTCAGATAAATTTATGTTTGATACTCGCCTCTATCAAAGAGTTGTAGTCTTTTGTGAGCTCAAGAACTTCCACTATGATTGAAAACTGTCGAGAGCTGAGTAAAGAAGACCCGGGGTCCGATGGATTCCGCCAGTTCTCTTCGTCGATTCTATTTAAACTCTGTATTTAGTGCAACCATATTTAACAGAATCAACTAAGAATAGTCATACGTACGTCACATTTAGGACAAAACCTTTTACGGCTGGCATCAACCAAGTTTTTGTTATGTATAACTGTACAAATTTTGTTGCCCTTGATATTAAGTCAATGCTCTCACGGTCAAAGTTCAAAAATAAGCCAAAGTCCTTGGTTGGATCATCAAATATAACCTCCTTAAGCTCATTATCTAACAAAATAGATATAATTCAGTATCCGTGTCTAGCTTTACGTGAAATATTTTCAGTTATTTAAATTTAAAACTCGGCACTTACTTTGATCTCCAAAAGAATGTGACAGCTTCTCTTTGATTTTGTCTTTGACTTTTTCTATGAACTCTGTATCCTGGACATTATCTACACAACCTAACATTCTTCGTCTCTGGCTTAGTTGGTGCTGACTATTAGTTTGCATGGGGAACCATCGAATGTATTGTATATGCCGAAGCGTTCTCTCAGTTTGTATTTTCGAAGGCGTAAAATCTCCTCTTGATATTAGACGGTACATATACTGTAGATTACTGAAATGGCCACATCTTATTAGCTCCGCGAACAACTGAGAAACGGCTCCTATGTCTAAATATAATAGTACATTTAGTTGTCTTACGCTTGCAAAAGTGCAAAATATTATTATTTCAATACATTGCTTATTAGCATAATCAAATACCTTCTTCTGCTCTAGGACCAGTTTCAACTAGGGAATATTTATCCAAAAAATCGAGTAATGCATTCTGTAGGAATGCCTGTCGTCGGTTCTTCTCTGCACCGTTCGCTGCATTATTCTTCCAAGCGGTCAGTACATTACTGACAATGTAGACTCTATGATCTCCACTTCTAAGATGAGTAACCGCCCAATAGCACAAAGTATATATGTGCCCGAATAATTCTTTCTCTAAATTTGACAGGTCAGTTGTCTTTGACGAGAAATACTCGTTTACGAGAACTTGATAGTCTGGTGGCATTTTAACATTGTCGAGTATCTATATGATGAATGTCATTCACGTCAGAGACATAATAACTGACTGTATGCAGATTGGATGTACTTGCTTTTTACCTTGGTTAATGTAGATGGTTCCGAATCAGCATCATCTTTTCTGAAACGTCCTGTTGTTAGTGCTCGCTTGTCATCAATTATCTCGTTTCTTTCGTTGATCTCCTCAAATATTTTCTGTAATTTTACTTTTATCTGTGCTGGAACTGGCGCTTTAGAATCATCTTCAACCAATGCAGTTCGAATAAGCTCACGCAATTCCTCGCCAAACCATCGTCGTGGCAAAACAAAAGTGTCTGGATCTGTTAAAAGAAGACCCTGATTTAAAATAGCGTTAGTAAAATGATAGTAGCGGGCAATGATAACAATATTATTATACGAATATCTGCTTTTTTAGCAGACAATTACCTGTAACATGTTCTTAATCATTACATATGGTAGATCGGGACTCGATATGTTATCTGGATTCCTACGAAGCTGCAGCGTTCGTATTACAATTAACATCAGCTGGGTTTTATAGAGACTCGCCTTGCCCTTTCACGCTACAAGTATTTCTTACCTTTGTTAACTGATTAAATAGTGCTTTTAGTAGCAAGCGCATCAAAGATATGCTGCGTTGATACTCAAATAAAAACGTCTGAACAAGAAACAGCCAAATGGCCAACCGCCATTCATCGTCACCTTCGTTGGTTAAATAGAGCAGCGTGTCTCTTAGAAACCTCTGTCCTAGAAGTCCATCATCATACATGTATTTCGTTAATCGCACACTATATTAACACAAAAACCAGATTAAATAAGGTTTGCGACATTGAGAACAAAAAATGATTAAGAGCATCTCGGAAAAATAACCTGTAGTCCCATTTAGCGGCATCAAAATAATCAAGCTGACCAAGTAGGAATTGACATGTATTGCGATCCCATAAGCCATCAAAGCTTAAGCTTTTGTTCTGCGATATGTAAACTTACAATCATCAATACCATTTATAATTACGGAAAATGATATAACAATATAATCGTTTACCTCGACTTCCATATACTTGGTAAGTACTTTTATTGCCCAAATAGTCCTCACATATGGAACTTGAATCTCAGATGCAATTCTCAACAGGTGCATCCAATCAAGACTGTCAAAATTACAAGTAAATCATGCCGTCTGATAGACTATGTGAATTACTATGCGATTTTACTATTACTACTTACGAGCCGGGAAAAATCTGAACCAAGTTTTTTAATGGAACGTCCGAAGCCAGCATATCAAACCATTTATCCTTATCCGACAGATGACGACGAGGCGGCAACTCAATATTATGCGTGCTATTATTAATTAATCATTAATAAATATCAATTATGTCTAATTCGTTTCCGACATATTCACAAAACTCGTCCATTCAGTTGCAATTACCTGTCAAGCATTTCCACACCCATCCGTTGGTTCCGTATTATCTCGAGAAACGAGGTCTCCACCGATGCTAATATGTTGGGAGTTGCCAGGTCACTCGCAAAGAACTCATAAGCGGACCCATTCTCATCGTCGACGAACAACGGCTCCGAAAAACCGGCTCGCACATTATGGTCCGTCATTTGTTCTTCTATTTGACCCGTTCTGGGAGGAGTAAATTCCGGGTGGCCTATGGTAATAAAAATATAATGGAATGTGAGTGACTCGGTAGTCTACATCATTCTTTGTTTAACCGTTTGTGCCGATGCTTAAAATGCAATGCATCATTCATACTTTACACTATATAACATAAACCGTTTCTACGACATACCTAACTCCTCCCTTGCACGATGAAGTCGTGCCAAATTGGGCGGTGGGGCCACTTGAAATTTCTTCATATTATGGGTTGGTTCACTTGCTATAAGTGAAATATTGTTGGAAGAACAAGCCCGGTAAGGTTTAGAAGGAAAAAAGTCAGTTTACAAAGGCTTCATTCTCAGACTTTGAGGTATATCTTAATCACGTGATGTACACGTACAAGCGTGGGGAAAGTTCCATATTTAATTGAGTGCAGTGATACCCTGCATTGTTACCAACAATAATACGAAAAGCTATCTAAGTGTATTTTACCTGTTATCATTATCTGTGCTGTCATCTTTTCTATAATTCTTATTTTAAAGCCAGACAACAGAGTCTACTTATTCTCTTGTCTGGCACAACTGAAACGCCCAATATGGAAAGACCACAAGTGTTAAAGTTATTCCCATTAACATTAATATTAAGCGCAACGCCACACTGCTGAATGTCACAGATTTGTCTTACTTTCATTAATTGGGTTAAACATCAATGCTACCTATTACTAAGAATTAGTGGAGGTAACACACAGAAGTCACACACAATTAACTGCTCGGGGATGGACAAGTTAACTCTTTTATGATTATTATGATTATTATTATCCAATGGATGGGCTAGCAAAAATAAGCACTGGATGATTTTATTAAAAAATCTCAATTAAAACAAGCTCTGCCTATTTGGAATGGAGTCTGTATCCCATATAGGTTCAAGTCCCAAAGTCAGGCCAAAACCTGACGCTGTTAAATATTTGAGCAAGATATTCCTGGCGCCGTTCACATCCCGATCCATCACCTCGCACGAATCACATTTGAACGTTTTTTACGAATCCACAATTTCCACACGTCTTTGATGTATACTCTTCCGTGCATTCAATGACCTTGAACTCCCTCGACTTGTGATGTAAGACATCCGAAACCTGAAATGCGACCAAGTCAGCATCGCACGAGCTGTCTTCGATCGAATCTTTCGCTTGTTATTCAAAACCATCCTCGAAGGTTCGAACTTGGGTAAAAGAATGATCTCGTAATTCTGACATAACCAGTTGATGATGGCACTCGTTGATCAATTATGGATTGGTTGTATGCTTCTTGGATAATTTGAATACTTTATCGAAATCACCGTTACCACCACTTAATTAATTGACCGTCGGGATCATAAACGTGTGAACACCTGGATCGAGCGTGATCACCTTTCCCCGAACATCATCTTGGTTATCAATGATATCCAAAGGAACGCAAATACACAAGTAAAAATGCCCCGGGCGATTCATAGTTATGTTAACCGTATTGTTGATACCTGTCAATCGCTCTGAGACGATAATATTCTTTAGGAACGCGTATTCCAATCCCTCGCAACGATCGAAATGGTTTGTGTTCGATCCTTTTTCGATCGACACTTCATTCGAAAATTATTTGCATGCAACTTCTTGTTGTTTTGTTTGCTCTTAAATGTCGAATCGCTTACGAACGTACTTCTCTAGGGATCTCTTTTACCCAGAGGTTGTGAAGCACTCATCGTTTAGGTAGTGCCTTTGTATGACGTTCATGTCGGTGATTCCGTCGTCCTGCACCATATAAAGAACTTTGTTGTAGTCCATCTCACAGTTCCCATCCACTTTTTTAACCTTTCTCTTTCTTGGACTTTGGGTAAAGCCGTATCTTTCGTGTTTTTAATCTCTCTGTTTTCGATTTTCAGCTGATCTGAGTCCGATATGCCTTGCTGTGAAGATAGGTAATGATTGATAATAGATTTTCGGCAAGCTGACCGGATTCGGTGTCATTAAGGTTGACGTCCGAACTGAGTAGTACTGTTCTTGCCAAGAACCCACTCGACAAGCTCTTACGAAGTCTGCAGAGCCGCTCCTTCCTGGTAACGACAACCTCCCCGGTACGATCGTTCCCAAATGGATGCAAGCCCTTGCATTTCCGACCCAATGTCCCTAATGAGTTCGTCGTCTGGGCATTTCTGTTTATTCGCATTGCCTGTCGAATCCTTTCTTCAGTTTACCTGAGCTGACTTGCGCATAACATATCTTTTGCTTTTCATTAAACAACGTTCTGAACATATTTATTTATACTTTACAAAACAATTGAAATCATTGACAAGGATGTAATAATGATAATTCAATATTCTTTGTCGCAAAATTATTATGCATGATATCAACGCGTCGGCTTATCATCATACGTTATGTCTACCCTTGATCTGGCGTTTTTCTTTACAGAAAATCTTCTTACATACCCACACATTTTTTAAATACTGACTAGTTTCTAAGATCAATCTTATTGACATGAGAGCGCGGCCGGATAGAGAAAATAAATAACGTAGTAAATATTATTAATATGCAAACTGACATAAGGAGCACGATTGACTAATGAGAAATTATCGGATCGGTCTGATGACCAGAACATATCAATCAAAGCAGCGCGTTTCTCCTCACAATGTCCAGAAGATTACAGCTTTCTTGGTTTCTATGAATATCGTTATCAGCAACCTGACTTTACCTTTTCATACTAAAAAAAGATGCAGAAAGAGTCAGAGTTTTTGCAAGCGATTTTATGCAGAACTTTAAGGTTATTTTTTCTTCTTTATGTTGAGAATTTCGAATGTGGTTATGCGACTAGGAGAATCATCTGCGTTTTCTCACTACGGTGGACATTCGCGGTTTGTTCACCTTATGGTCTGCGTTCCGTTGGTGCTGTCACATGCCCTCAGCTTTTGTTAAATAAAGGCTTAGCTTTACTTTTACAATTGAGTTCGACGCGATTATCATCGTACAGCAGATACAACGTGTTTGCTCAGCCCTTTATTTGTAAGGCATATGCTCGTTTCAACTATTTATCGTCCATCCATACTATCTGGGTTATCATTTTGTACATGAAAATATTATTTATTTGACTATGGTAAATATCATTATGTCGCACGAGATCAAAACACGTCGATGAGTTGTAACAAAGAATGACCCGTTTTTCAATAATATGCTTGTTTGGAGAACTTTATTGATATGTACATCATAATCAATTCTTTTCACCATTACCTTTTATGCAGATGAGCGTTAAATTTTTGTGATTGAACAAATGTTCATTGAGTTAATTACTCCGACGTTCAGTTGACTTCATCCTCTGATAGATTGTGCCAGAATCCTACGCAAATAATTGTAAAGTTATTAAATTTTGAACATTAGCTTCGTACTGTATTGCATTATTTCTGCATTTTTCGCTGAATAAATCCACGTATAAGCAAACTCAAAAGTTTACATAAACGTACACACCAACACCCACTGTACGACAGAAAGTATATAAACGTCGCCAAAAAGACAATCTCAAACGCACAAAAATAAAATAAAAAAAGTAAAGACGCGCATAATTATAAACTCGCGAACACGATACAAAAAAATTATGGAATATCCACGAGCACACTTCGAAGATGGAGTGATCATGGGGACGTTTCATACTCGGTGGAAAACATACCACAGACATTGATCAAATGTTTAACAATAAGAGCGTGCAAAAGGAAAAAGTTTGTTATGCACAAGCATCCCGTGAAACTATCCAACTCCCCGTATCGGAGTAATATCGTCCTGGGATATTCTCAAATCTAAAGCGTCTTGAAAGTGATGAGATTATAAGACGATCTTTAATAAAGCCGTGGTGCGTGTTACAGTTGACAAAGACATGTGTATAAAATCGCCTCTTTTCCATATCTCATCCAGAAATCCGTATGTGAGCAAGTTCACCTAAATTAATTGTTTTCAATTTCTATTCTTCATTAGCTAAGAAAGCAATTCAAGTGAGCGAGTGAGTTATAGCTGATCTTCGCACAAACTGAAAGTTTTCAATACTAGTAATACTGTTAGTTGCGTAAACTTTATTTGATTGATTTTATATATTTCTATTCAATAATTTTAATTAATCTAAATATTGCCTGTACGAGCGGTAGAATAGTTAGCAATAAACCAATCCACAGAATCTTTGATGGCTGCATTAAACGGAGTGAATTGAAATTCGCCACCCAAGTATTTCATTAACTTGGCATTGCTGGCCGTCTTTTTAAATTGGCCATCAGACCTTGAAGTATCGAATGTATATGTCCCTTCAAACCC